TTTGCGTTCAGATGCATTAGTATCAGTCCATTACCCACTCTGGATGAAACCGCTCGTGTTTGCGTAAAGAGAGAGATGTGCCAAAGTACCTCCAGATAAGAGCCATCCTGGAGGTGTGAGACAGCAGGATGGAGGCTTTCGCAAATAAACCCAGAGAAAAATTACGTGCGAAGTGCTACTGTAGGCAAAAATCAAAAGGGGGAAACGGATACTCTGTTCATGAGAACGTGACAAACGGACTTTTCATGTGTTTTTTTAGTCACACATAATTCTTATGTCCAACTCAAGATGCTTTGCACTGATCAAAATCAGTGTTTTCATTAACACAAATCATTTTAATGCAGTATTAATATGTCAGTGACAACATTGTATAAACAAAAGTGGTCGACAAAGTTTCTTCATACAGTATATAAAAATTCCCAGATTTTGTCTACTAGCATATCAAATATTTATACATGTGTTGTTTTTAATTTATTTTGTTGAAAATAGTACAATTTGTTGTGCATTAATAACAAACTTAAAATAAACTGAAACTTAAAATGTAATTGTATTAAAAATGCTATTAATAAATGAGCTTTTTAATAAAATCAGGTTAACAATAAAATCACTACTTTAACTAGAAAAATATTTTAATATATTTTTTGTAAAAGACAAAAGAGGCTTGGCTTGTAAGAATGAATGAATTTTGAATATATTTCATACTTCTTAGACTTGAAGAAAATGTTATTTAATATGTGTAAAGTGTAAACTTGCAAATAAGTCACAAACAATTGAGCACATTTTTGTAACATTTTATTACAGATTGAAAATATCTCTGCTATATTGTACAAGTTATATTTTATAAGTAATGGCACATACAATAAATATTTTCTCAAATAAAAACTCAGATAAGATTACTTGATACTAAGCTTGATAAAAAATATTTAAAGTGTGAAAATATTTTTATAGTTTAATATATTTGAATTTAAGAATATTAAAATATTAAATTAACATGAATATTCTTTTTAATTATTTTCTTTTTGTACTTTACATGAAAAGTTACAGCTGGCAATGAACTTGATTTGGAAAATACACAATATTGCTCTCCCTAGCTTAAAATAAGTTATTATTAATGATAAATAATAATAATTAAATCTGAGAGTATTTAATTCAAATACATTTTTTTTTTTTTGGAAACAAAGATTACTCTCATTTTTCTTTAGCTAGCTCATCAAGCTTTGTGTTTATCCAGTAAGTATTTCGATGTTTTTTCGGTGTCCTAAATATTCATGACTCAGTTGTTCAGACTGTACATTTGAAACTGATAA